ATAAGATAACTAGGTAAATAATGGCTTTCAGTGCAGATGCATATCAAACCCAGAAACTGCTGGAACAAAGATCATCTTGGAAAACTCTGAACCTCAGAAAGGGTTCACAGTGAGTTTACCATTTATATCCGGGGGGAGAGCAAGCGTCTTGTAAAGCAGCAAATCAATCACAGCTGGCTTTCTACACAGTCTCCTGACGTTTACCAGCCAGGACAGACAACTCGGTCATTCTGATGGCTGCAGCTTGGTGGGCAGAGATGCCCAGGAGAACACCTGTCTCCAAACCTGACCTGCTGCTATAGGGAGCTTCTAATAAACTAACAGATTTGGTTAAAATTGACTTGGCTGCCTGGCAGGGCAGGGTAGCTGGAGATTGACAAAGAGAAGACAGCAGATTATACTATGGGGGCTTGCATTTCTCATCCTTTTTCCTCCTCTTTGTATTAATATATTTACTCATCTCTTGGAGGGAGTAACGGGAGCCTTTGTGCCATTATCTTAGTAAAAATTTACAACGTTTGGACAATAGCACTGCCTGTATTGTGTGGTATGTGCTGTAACACTCAGGCATTCAAGAACTGGCTGAAGATTCTGAATACGGGATTTAGCCACTACAATGCAAGGTACACACCTGTCCACCCAAGCCTCTTGCTTAAGTGTTCCCAAGGACAGTTGGATGACAACAAATGCAGCCCCAGGAGGCACAGCTGGAAATGCACCAAGATTCATTGATGTTTCCTGATAAATGGGATTTATTGGTAGGAATTGTTTCTCGGGAGGGGACTGGGACCTGTGGGGTGAGCCATTTGGGCTGAGGAGGAGGAAATTTGGAGTTGGGAAAAGTGGGGACAATTTCTGTCTAGAAAGACGAAAGAGCGCTCAAATCTGCCTGTCCCCTCAGGGTGCTGGAGCCAGGAAGAGCCCGTCTCTTCCCAGCTTCACACTCAGTGATGTGGGTGGCTTGAAATCATCCGTGGTGGGCGTATCTACATCAGAGAAATTGGCACATGAACTCCTTTTGGAGAGCCCGCTGTCAACATCCACTGCCAAAAATCAGGGTTACACCACTGCCCTGCTTTCAGGTTCAATAACCCCAAAACTTCCGGGTCTAACCCATCTGGCCGCTGTTCCCAGGATGGTCTTAATAAAACAAATACGACAGTGTCACCCTCTGATTCAATTTTCTTTTAGATAAATTCCCCGCTCCTTGAAGTGGAATTAAAGGCCCCTCCTTCCCTGGTTCCTGCTCAACTTGCCAATCACGTCTTTGGGCAGACTCATGGGGCTCGGGGGCGGGGAAAGATGCAGTTTGTATCTTATCTCCCACTGAGTAGGAAGGGCCCCCCACCCCCCAGACAGCCCAGGTTTGGGCTGGGACCCTGGAGCGTGAAAAGTGAATGGAAATGGACTCTGGAGCATAAGAAGTGAACAGAAATGGATTTCCCGAAGCCCAGTTCTGACTCATCTGAAGCCCTGTTTGGGTGAAGTCACCTGGGGCTGCCGTGCTCCTGGCCTCAGTGCCCAGAGAAAGCAAAAGTCAATTGTCTCTGCATACATACAACATCATCCAGAGCCTCAAATCATCCCTACAGTTTTTGCTACACTGTGTCCAGCAGTTAATAACAAGTAATCAGGCATACGCAAGACAACATGTGTACCAGAGAAAACCAGACAGTAGAAGGAGACCCAGTGGGGATTCAAATAATGGAGTCAACAGGGGCAGTCTTTGTAAGAACGCTGAATGAGTAATAGGATCAAGGGTGTAAAGGACAAGATTGCAACTTCTGGCAGAGAACTAGAAACTCTACAAAAACGGAAGCAAATGGAAATCCTAGAACTGAAAGATGCCATTAACTGAAATTGAGAAAGAGCTCGCATGTATTGAACACTTCCTATGTGGGCAGACTGCACCGAACACTTTACTGGCATCAACAATGAAGCTTCACCCACGTGGTCTCCATGGAGCCTGTCTCGTGTCACTCCTAGGACCTGGGCTTAGCCTGGCTGTCCTGTTTCCCTTTAAGTGGGCCTTAGTCATTTCTGTTGTCACCGGTGTCTAGCAGGGCAGGGCTCGGCACGTAGCAGGTACCAGTATAGCTGTGATGCCTGGTGCCCGGGGAAAGCACAGGGTGCTGATTGGGAAGCAGAGTTCACTCCATGGCGTGGTCAGAATACGTTTAGTTAGAGATGTCCCGTGGGTGGGCAGACATCACAGGGACACCGACTGATTTGATGGGACAGAGCCAATAGTGCCCCCACCCCACCACAGGAGTGAATCAAGCAGGCTTGTTGGGCATGTTGACGGGGATCAGGGCATTGTGACTGTCCCCTCCCACTCTACCTGGGGTGATGAATCAGACATCATACCTCCCTATTGTTTAAGTAGTTCCTACGTGCCAAGGTCTGGGCTAAGTACATCATGTGCAAAATGTTTCCATCCTCAAAGCAACCCGTGACAAGGCTTCCTTCTATTATTAGCCCCATCTAATGGATAACAAAACTGAGACTTGGAGAGTTCTGGCATGTTGTCTGGGTGGCCCAGCTCATAATTGACGCAGGAGGATGCAGCCCGAAGTCGGCCTGGCCCCGGGGAATCCCGCCCCCATGTCCAGAAAGACTTGTCAGGCCACAGAAGGAAAAAGATACAGATCTAGGAGAGGGGGTTGGGGGGGAACCCAGGGCCTCTGCTCTCAGGGAGAAACCTGTCTCTTAGAATTTGGGCTGGGAACGGAGGAACATTTACCCAGGCACTGCAGTGTGCGCAGGACCTTGACCCCTTGGTCTCACCGTGGCAAGTCACTGCTTTTCTTCAGTATGAAAGGACAATTTTTTTTTTTTTTTTTTTTTTTTTTTCCGCCGTGCCGCGGCATACGGGATCTTAGTTTCCTGACCAGGGATCGAACCCGTGCCCCCTGGAGTGGAAGCACAGAGCCCTAACCACTGGACTGACAGGGAATTCCCTTTAAGGACAGTTTTTGAGTGATGCTGATTTAACAGTCGAGGAGTACATCAAAAATAGCCTAAGAAAGACAAGTAGGAGAGAACTTATCCTGGGAGGTGGCAAGCTGCCTTGTTCCCTTACAGCAGGTGTGATGACCAAGGTATGCACCCGATGATTCATAAGTGTTCCAGAAATTATAAACCCCAATTCAGCAAATACTGGAAGTGGCAAATAACCAGTCAGGTTCACACACATCGCCTCCTTTAGCCAGCCCCCCCCCAAAACAAACAAAAACAATCAACTCCCCAATACAGCCCTCAGAGGTAGCCATTATTTCTTACATGTGTTTCAAAGGTGAGTAGGAGCCCTCAAGGTCACATAGCTTGTGAGAACAGAGCAGGGGATGTGCCTGTGTGCAGTTTTGTCCTACTCAGGGAGGTGATAATTTTTGCAGAAATGTTTCATTTGCTCTGGAAGAGGAGCTCATTAATGATCTGAGAAATTCATTTGCAAATTTCCTCTTAAAAATTTTTTTTTATCGAGGTATAATTGGCATATTACATTACGTGAGTTTCAGATGTACAACATGGTTATACAATTATTTTTTTTGCTTGTGATGAGAACTTTTAAGATCCACTCTCTTAGTAACTTTCAAATATGCGGTGTACCCTACCTCCCTGACAGATTTTACCCTCATTTGGACACAGCCTCTGATTGGTTGGTTGAAAATAAAGTCAGACTCCTCAAGATCTGCTGCTGTAATAGGAGACCCCTGGGTGGGAGTCAGGAGACCTGGATTTCTGGCTACACCTTTGCCATGGAAGAGCTGTGTGACCTTGGGCAGGTGCCCTCCCCTCTCTGGGTCTTTCTGGGTCTTCTTCAGAAACAGTGCTGGGGTGAGGTAGAATGATGCTGAGTGCCCATCCAGTTCTCAAAGGTACAGTCTGCGCTTCTGCACTAGCGTTACATTCTCCTACCATTTAGATCATGTAGGGTCCGCTTCACCTCTTTTCTGTCCATTAATAGGAATATACTTTCTTTTTTCCTAACTGTCTAGAATGTAGTAAGAAAGGAAGTTAATGTTTCTTAGTGCCCACTATGAGCCAGAACTTTTGCCTTCCAACCAACCTTCCTTCCTCCCTTCCTTCCGTCCTTCTGTCCTTGTACCTATGAGAATGACATAATCAACCTCATTCTGAGCGTGAGGAGAGAGAAGCAGAGACCCACATAAGTGACTTGTTCCAGGCCACACAGGCGGCAAACGGCAAGTGCTAGAGGTAGATTTTGGATTCATTTCCGTCCCACGCTGAGTTCACCCCATTTTCCCGAGACCATAACTTCAAAGAGGTCGGTAACAGGAATAGGGTTGGTTTCAAAGCCCCTCTCAGGAAGTTTACTCTAAAGCAGGGGGCAGCAAACTTCAGGCCAAATCCAGCCACCACCTGTTTTTTGTAAATAAAGTTGTATTGGAGCACAATTAAATTAGCTTGTTGGTTTACAGATTGTCCAAATGCTGCTTTTCAGCTACGACAGCCGAGTTGGGTAATAATGACGTACGGCCCCGCAAATTCTAAAATGTTTGCTATTTGGTCCTTGACAGAATGTTTGCCAGTCCCTGGTCCAGAGTCCAGCAAGGCTGTCCCACCTTCAAAGAACACAAAGTGACCTGAGTCTGTCACGGGTGCTGGGAGCCCTGCCACTCGACTTCTTAGGAAAGGGGGATATTTCTACTCAAATCTGTTTTTGCAAAGTCTCAGGATACCTGTCGGGCAGATGAAGGGCTTTGGTTTTCAGTGTGCTCTTATTCCCAGGAACTCGGTGAGGGGAAAATAAAAATCTCAATTTTGGGGAAATTGCACAGAGGAAAAGGGGAGGGAATGAGTTACAACATCCCATTGCGACACTCAGCAGGACTGAAAGTGACAACAGCAAGGTTTCTCGTTTTGAAAATGTGAGGGCGTTTCCGTTTCTCACAGTGGGACAGGGTGGCCGCAGCCTGGTCTTGGTGAGGGACTATTTTCTTTATAAGCAGCTCCTCTGGGTCTGAAATGGCAGTCTCCCATTGCCTTGTGGTCACAGGATGGAAGTCTGCAGGTGTCACCACGGTTACCTAATCTCTCTTCTCCTTTTCCTGTTCCATTCAGAGACAGCCTGCCACCCCCTGGGAAAGAGACCCTGCGAGATGCAAGCCTTCAGGTAAGGCCGACCCAGAGGAGGTGGGGCTGGACGGGTCAAAAATGGAGACAGAACAGAGCCGTCTGTGGCTGCCAAGCTCCATGAGGTTTGGGCTGGAAAGGGATGCTCGTTATTCAAGTAAGAGGCTGCCACATCCGTGGTCTTCGGGACTTGTATTTCAAAGTATCCCAAATGTGCGAAGCTTGGCTGGAGGCCTGGCGGACTTTACCAGAGACCCTGGCAACTTGGTGACAGACACGTGCCCAGGAGCCACGCTGGGGTTTGGGCCTGGCACAGCATGCCAGGCAAAGAGGCAGAGAGGGGCGCTGTGGGCAGGGCACAGCCCAGAGTTCCAGGCTGTTAACAGTGCCTGTCTGTGTTGATATATCAGAGGGTCCTGCTCCCCTGGGACCTCAGTTTCCCCATCTGTGACATGGGGTTAATGCTAACCCTGCCTGCACTACAGGGTTGACGTGAAGGTCAAATGCACGGATAACAGCGTGACGATGTTTTGTGAGCAGTAAAGTGCCTGGCAACCATTACGATTATTAAAAATTGGGTCAGGGACTTTGTGAGATGTCATCATCCCTGGCTGTAAAAATAGCAGGCTGTGATGCTGATAAAAACAGAACACTGTCTGAGCGCGGCTTCTGGGCCATGATGTCCCAGGACATGTCGGGGTGATCTCACCCTCCAACTCTGAGTTTCTCTTGCCTTCTACCGGCTGGGACTCTGCGTGCCTGTGTGTGTTCCAGAGAAGTCCCTCCCCCAGGGCTCTGCCTCTGTCTCCTCCCATAGGCTGGGAGCTCTAGGAGATGCTCCAGGGATGTTTAATCCCTTCAGATGGGATTCAGCTCATCCAGGAACTAAGAATAATCACAAAGGGTCAAATGCTCACTCGTGCCAGGAATTTTACAGTTTGCCTGACCCCCTCTCATTGGGCTCAGGGGCTCGTCACAGCCACCTGCTGAGGTGGGTGTTGCTAGCCCCCTTTCACAGGTGAGGAGATGAAGCACAGGTCCAAGGTCACGCAGGTGGGCGGCAGGGAGTAGAGGGTCCGCGTCGCGGCTGGGGCTCTGTTTACTGCATCTCACCACTGCAAGCCCTGCTCTCAGCCGGAGGGGTCCTTCACCAAGAAGAAAAAGCTGGAAGCCAGAAACAGGCCATGGGGTGAGCTGGTGGGGAAGCTGACTTGTCCCTGGGGACAGCGGCCCCTGCCAGACCCAGAACAGGCCACTGGCCAATAGAAGACAGGCTCTGGGGACAGACCTCCACGGTCTAAGGCTTGGAGGGAGTTAGCTGCAAGGGGCTCTGACCCTCGAAACTTCTAACCCTGTGCCGTGTGGGCCACTAGTCTTGGATGAATCTTAAAATTTACATTTAAATTCATAAAAAGAGAAGAAAATAAAAAATCCAGATCCTTGGTCGCACTACGTTTCAAGAGCTCAATAGCTGCATGTGGCTGGTGGCTACCATATTGGATGGTGCAGACATAGAACATTTCTGCACCCACGAAGTTCTGTCGATGGTGTTACCCTAGAGCCTGCTTTGCTGAAGTAGAAGGTGGCTGCCCTGAGAACTTGAGCATAAGGAGCAAGGCAAAGAGAGGGGGTAGGGGCTTCCCAGGTGGCGCAGTGGCTGGGAGTCCGCCTGCGGATGCAGGGGACACGGGTTCGTGCCCCGGTCCGGGAGGATCCCACATGCCGCGGAGCGGCTGGGCCCGTGGGCCCGTGGGCCATGGCCGCTGAGCCTGCGCGTCCGGAGCCTGTGCTCCGCAACGGGAGGGGCCACAACAGTGAGAGGCCCGCGGACCGCCAAAAAAAAAAAAAAAAAAAATCGAGGGGTAGAATGCAGGCGCACAGCTCACCAGCTGTGGGGGTTGGGCCTCTTTTGGTTTTTTTCATATTCAAAATATATTTCTTATTTAAAATATTTTTAAGTTGTTACTTATTTTATTTTTTGTTGAATATTCCATTTTACTTTTGAAATTTTTATTGGAGTATAGTTGATTTACAATGTTGTATTAGTTTCAGGTGTACAGCAAAGTGAATCAGTTATACAAATACATATATCCACTCTTTTTTTTTTTTTTTTTTTTTGTGCGGTCCGCGGGCCTCTCACTGTTGTGGCCTCTCCCGTTGCGGAGCACAGGCTCCGGACGCGCAGGCTCAGCGGCCATGGCCCACGGGCCCAGCTGCTCTGCGGCATGTGGGATCCTCCCGGACCGGGGCACGATCCCACGTCCCCTGCATCGGCAGGCGGACTCTCAACCACTGCGCCACCAGGGAAGCCCTATATCCACTCTTTTAACCAGTGTTGAGCTCAGTCTCCACATCCATGATATGGGTGTGTTAAATTCTACACCCCAGGCAGAAAGTAGGACGCAGATTCCGCACAGTCTGGGGGACACAGGAAGGGGCTGGGCACATAGAAACTGTCCACTACAGCTAGATCCTTCTGCTTTTCAGAATCTGGGATGTCAACCAGAAGACCTTCTACCTGAGAAATAACCAGCTAGTTGCTGGATACTTGCAAGGACCAAATACTAAATTGGAAGGTGAGTGGTTGCAAGGAAGGCCAATGTGATGTGGGCACTGGTCACATTGCCTGGGGTTTGCAGCCTTGTGGCCCAACCTTGGGAACTTTAGGTGTGATGTCCTAAACGCTGCTGGTTCTTTGTGGCCGAGTTTGAAGCTGGAGAGGCCTGGCCACTGAAGGACACGTACAAGGACAGCCTCAAGAAGGCAGAGATGGGCGGAGTCTAGGTTGGGAGCCACCACCTACAGGCACCGTGGTCCCAGGGCCACACCTGGGGGGAGCTTTGGCCCAGGAGGCCAGCTCAGCCCTTTCCTTCCTCTGGTGCCTAGAAAGCCCCCGTGTTCCTGTGTGATCAAACGCTCACTCCCACCCAGAAGTAATAAACCATCAACAAGGCTGCTTTATGTCCCTTAATCATGGACACCACATTTAGTCATGTTCCAGATCCATGTCAAACTGGATGAACTTGAACAAGTTTCACCCACTCTGTTCCTCAGTTTTCCCTTTAGTAAAAGAGGAGCAGTTGGATGATGGGATGTGGGATTCTTTCAGCACCAGCCCTCTAGGCTGTTTTCACGTCCCTGTTGTCTGGCTTGGGGTCGTAGGATGGCATTATCCCCATCCCCTTGTTCTCTGTCCCCGTCTCACTCCTAAAGGGTGTGAGACCCACCTTTCCTGTCCTTTTGGTAATTCTCCTAATGAGGACTCTAAACACAGAGAGGCTGAGATGTTCACTCCCTCACGAGGGCACGGAGACCACCGAGGGGAAGAGGCGGGTTCAAAGTCACCCAGGCTTCTGTGGACCAAGCCCCGGGGCCCCTCGTGTGCTGACCTCGTGTGCTGTTCTCCCTGCCCATGGGCAGCACACCTGTTGACCTAGAGCTCAGGGGTCCTGGGGAAGGGAGGGAAGGATGGAAGTCACCTGGAGCAGACTCTAGGTGCCTTGGACCTTGAGGAGTAGCTAGCTAGCGTGCTTGGTTTGATCTTCTGTTTGGATGCAGACCAGGAACGGGGGCCCTTGCTGTCCTTCTGACCTTGGGGTTTTACTTAAGGGGCTGGAAGAATCCCCAGGGAGAGTCCAGCCTGCTGTGTCTTCGTCATCTGTGCCTCCCCTTTGTTCTTCCCCAGAGAAGATAGATGTGGTGCCCATCGAGCCGCATGCTATGTTCCTGGGGATCCATGAGGGGAAGCTGTGCCTGGCCTGTGTCAAGTCTGGTAATGAGATCAAGCTCGGGTTGGAGGTAAGGACCCGTCTCAGATTAACGAGCACCTCAAACTCGGTGGCTTAAAACAAGCACAATGGGTTCTTTCTCATGATTCTGTGGGTTGAGTAGGATCAGCTGGGTAGTTCTGTGCCACGTGGTATAGCTGGGGTCCGTCCTCCAGGCTCTCTTCCCACGGGGTCTCTCTGAGTTCAGCTGCCAGCTTGAGCTTCCTTATGACATGAGTGCTGGCTTCCAAGACGGATTACTCCAAAAAGACAAGCCTCAATGTGCAAACGCTTATTAAACTTCTGCTTGTATCATACCACTAATGTCCCATTAACCAAAGCCAGTCAGGTGGCTAAGCCTAGCCTCAACGAGGGAGGGAACTAACAGGGTGTGGGTACCAGGAGGCATGGCTCCTTTAGGGACCTCAGTCTCTGTATGCTGCTCTCTTGCCCAAGGGTCCCCAACCCACTTGGACTTGCCCTCTTTCAGTAAAGCCAACCTTTGGGACCATTCTCTTCCAACACTTATCTACTCAAACCCATGAGCTGGCATCCCATCCAAGACCCTGTACTCCCGTGCAATATTTCTTATTTTTGCGGTTGCGGGGTGGGGGGCATGCCGTGCGGCTTGCAGGATCTCAGTTCCCGGACCTGGGATTGAACCGGAGCCATGGCAGTGAAAGCCCGGAATCCTAACCATTAGGGCACTAGGGAAATCCCCTGTGCAGTATCAATGGGCTACCAGCCCTGAGAAAAGAGAGCTTTGTATCGGGGGATTGTTGGACAAAATCTTAACTCAGATTGTGAGTGGCCGTAGCTATGGCACTGTCCCTTCTGTCTGCTAGTGGACAGGCACTTTATTGGAGCGGGGCTGCCTGCTCTGTGTGGCGTTGGAGTGACCACGATAATGTGTGCAACGTCTCGCATGGACTGCAATACCCTGCCCACCTTGTCCACTGCCCCTTCTCTTGGAGGTGCAGACACGGCAGACAACCAGCCTCCACAGGCCTTGGCCTCTGCTGATGGTGCCATGTGTTTCCCAAACATATTGGCCGAGGGCTGGAGTGACCAGATTTCCCCAAATCAAGGTGTAACCGTGGGGCAGCCTCCTTGTGTCACAAGACCTGGGACACTGGGTGTCCTGCCATGGTCTTTGGGCCAGCATTTCTCCGTGGGCAGTCACGGGGCCAGGTCCTGGGGGCTGGGGTGCAAGGACCTCTCTGCTCTTCCCTTGGCCCCCAGCCGGTAAACATCACTGACCTGAACAGCAGCAAGGAGGAGGACAAACGCTTCGCCTTCATCCGCTTCGACAGCGGGCCCACCACCAGCTTCGAGTCGGCCGCCTGCCCCGGCTGGTTCCTCTGTACCGCGCTGGAGACCGACCAGCCCGTGGGCCTCACCAATACGCCTAAAGATGCTGTCCAGGTCACCAAGTTCTACTTCCAGCAGGACCAGTAGCGGTGCTGTTCAGCATCCCTTGCCCACCCCGCTCCCAGCACATCCATGACTCCAGAGATGCCTCTCCCTCCCGCCCGGGGGCTCACCATGGTTGCAGTGAGCGCTCAGCAGGGCAGCCTTGGCCGGGGGTGGGGGTCCTCGGAAGGAGAGAGCCCTGGGAACAGCCTCCTCTACTTACCCAGCCTCCACGAGGCCTCCGCCAGGTCTTTCTAAAATGCACATGGGATCACGACCCCGATCAAAGCCCTCAGGGTCGCCTGTACCTTCAGGGTAAAGTCCAGGTGCCCTGGCCAGCCCCAGCCCCTCCCTCACCTCCCTTCCAGGCCCCAGACCCCGCAGGCCACTCGCTGACCTCCCCCCAAGGGGCTCCCATTCCGCTCTTTGCAAACTGGTGCTTTTCCAGGGGCAAGAGTTTTAGGCTCTGTGGAAAACAAGCGTTTCCTGGTATTTTTTTTTTCATTAAGCCAGCTTTGAGAGAGAGTCCTTTATTTGGAGATGATGTCCTTTCTGGAAGGGGGTGGAAGATTAAAATATCCCCCTTTTTAGGAAATGATGGTGAAAGGAGGTGATAGCTTTTCCTCTTTGTCTTTCTTGTTTTTGTGATGCCCTGACCTGTAATAATGAAAAGTTAGTGGACTAGGTTGGTTCCCTAGTGTTTTTCTTTCTGGAACGTTCCTATAAGTCTAGACCCCACCCCCACCCCACCCCCCGGCCCAGGCCCCAAGCGCCCTGTTCACTGCAGACCTCCTGCAGCTGCCTGAAGTGCTGTCCCCTTCCCTGCCCTCCCATCAAAATCCCCTAGCTCCCAAGACGCAGCACAAATGTGGCTTCTCCGGACCTCCCGGGAGAAATGA